ATAAAAAATTTTAATTAAAAATAAACTAAATAACATGGACAAAGCTAAAAAACAAAAAAAAAAGAAAATTTCTAAAGTCAATAAGAAAGAAAGAAACAACTCCTACAAAGGAATAGCAGTTGGATATTTACCAGCCTTCTTACTAGTAGCAACAGAAGTTGGGAGACAATAGAATGTTTTTGAAATGCTAAGAGAAAATATTTTCATTCCTAGAATTCTGTTCCCAACTGTAGAATTTCATAACATGCAAGATTATTGGCAAAATAAAGACACGTTCAGGTAAATAAAGACGAATAGAGCTTATCTGCCACAGGCCCTAATTGAAGAAACTACTAAAAGATATACTTCAGGAAAAAGGAGATTAAATCTGGAATGAAAGGGTGTTAGGAAAGCCACAGTAGTGAGAAGAAGTAAAGGTACAGGTGTATTAGTCGGCTTGGGTGGCTATAACAAAATTCCATGTGCAGGATGGTTTAATAGCAGAAGTGTATTTTCTCACAGTTTTGGAGGCTGGAAGACTGAGATCAGGGTGCCAGCATGGTCAGGGTCTGCTGAGGGCTCTCTTCCTAGCTTGCAGATAGCTCCTTTCCAGCTAGGTTCTCACATAGCAATTCCTTGATGGATAGAGAGAAGGGGAAGGAGAGAGATAATCCTTCCTCCTCTAGTAAGGGCACTAATGTCAGGGCTGGCAGGTGGTGTGGTAGTTGGGAGTGCTGGATTCCCACATGGCTGACCATAGTTCAAGTCCCATCCTGGATCTGGTGGTTTGCTTTCTTGCTTTCCCTTTCTCTCTCTCTGGTCAAATTAAATAATAATAATGATAAATGGGATTAAATAAATAAACCTAAAAAAAATTAGGGCACTAATCCCAACAGTACCTTATCTGAACCTAATTACTTCCCCAAAGCTCCCTCTCTAAATACCATCACATTGGGGTTAGGGTTTTAGCATAGGAATTAAGAAGGGGACACAGATACTTAGTCCATAGCATTAAGTAAATCTAAACAAACATTGACCCTAGGAACATATAATATAAAAACAGTAATGGTGGATGGCAATGGAAAATGAAACAAACCAACACATAAAAAAATAAATATTTGATAACAACAGTAGGAAAAAAGAATGGTGACATTTTCTAAGGTCATTATCTTATTTGGGAGAAGACTAGAAATTATATTTCACTGTAGACTTTGCCAAGTGAAGTATTCATATTAAAAATGAAGAGTAGTGGGGCCAACAGATGACGTAGCAGTTATGTCACTGGACTCTCATCTGTTTGACTGCAATTCAAGTCCTGGACCTGGTGGCTTGAAACTCACGCCATGTGCATGTGCGTGTGTGCCCAAGATCCCAGGAGGAGAATGGAGGCAAAGAGATTGTGGCATGGCCATCCCCCTGGGAGGTGATGTCTCACTTTCCCTCTCACTGTCTCTGTCTCTCTCTGGTGAGTGCATGTACCTTATGGGGGAAAAAAATGAAGAATAGTTTCCAAGGGAGTGCAAATAGAAAGAATACCATCCAAACGAGTCAAGTGAAAAGGGGAAGTAAAATAAATTCAGTTAATCCAATAGATCGGGGATTGGCAAACAGCAGCCCAGGAGACAGATCTGGCCTATTGCCTGTTTTTGAACAGCTCACAAGCTAAGAATGGCTTTACATTTTGAATGGTTAAGGAAAAAATCAAAAGAAGATTTCATGACTTGTCAAAACTGATGAAATTCAAATGTCAGGGTCTCTAAATGTGGTTTCATTGGAACACAGCAAGGCTCATGTGCTCATATCTTGTCTGAAAAAGCAGCGACAGAGCCTATATGGCATAAAGTCCCAACTATTCATTATCTGGTTCTTTACAGAAAGAGTTTGTGACCCTTGGAATAGTGAGAAAACAGAAAGACACAGCAGCAAGATGCTCAGTATTCTGCTGTGTGTGCTAGTGTTATTAGTTGTCGCTGTCACCATCGTCGTCCCTGTCATCAATAAGTATTTTTGAAGCTCATTTTCTGCAAAGCTTCGTGTTATGCGAAAATGTCCAGCAGCCAGTTGGAAATAGAGACTGAGAAGAGGAGCAAGATGGTGCTCTCCCTCCCTCAGTCCCTGTGCCTCTGCACTGCCTCGGAACGTACCACCTAGGGGTGACCATTATATGGGGGGGCTGTAGCTTCTGGGCCTGTGCCAGTGGCCTGGGCAGGGCTGGCTGAGGCTCACAGTCCTGCTGTAAGATTTTTATTTACTTTTTAAAAAATTTGCTATGAAACATATATGAGCACCAGAGAGAAAGAGAGACAGTGAGAAAGCATCCCCCATGGGGAGTGTCACACTGCAGTCCCTTCTATATTTCTCCTCTGACGATTTTGAGCACAGGTGTCTGGAGTGTTGTTCAAGTCACTGGGTCCAGGATTTGAACCGGAGCAACCATGTGGGATCCAGCTATTCTTATCACCCTGCCACCAACTGGCCCTGCCCGTTCCTCTTCCTCTTCAGTTGCAGGGTGCCATCATGGTTGCTTCCTGTGTCCAGATGCTAGTGGGCTTCTCAGGGCTCATCGGTTTTCTCATGCGTTTCATCGGCCCCTTGACCATTGCTCCAACCATCTCTCTGGTGGCCCTGCCTCTCTTCGATTCTGCAGGCAGTGATGCTGGGATCCACTGGGGCATCTCTGCCATGTAAGTACTCTCTGGGGAGGGGGCCATTGAAGTTCTCCTTGGCAGGAGAACCCCCAGTAAGAACAGGATCTTGGCTATCAGCCAACTCTTGTGGTTTATAAATACTTTCGTGAACATAGTTATACCTTAAAAAGCATCCAGGTTGCTGCTTATACTTCATTATTCTAATTATTCTAATCTCATTAGTATTCACGATGAATTAATTATAGGCAATGGATATAAGGCTATGTAGGGCACACAAAAAATTGATCCCATTGGCTTCCTGTCAACTAGGTTTTCGTTAGCAAATGTTAGTAACCCCTGCAGCCGGGAGCGGGCAGAGACATGTCTACCGCCCTCCACCATGTTATAGTCCAAGAGAGAGAGGTAAGACTTGCATCCAAGTACCTGTGACACCAGGAGACAGCCATGAGTCTTAGGGTGTCATTTGCAGAGGAGAGGACAGTGACAATCAGCTAAGTGGACCGAAAAGACTTGTGGGGCCAAATAAACTTGTAATTAAAAAATAAGAAAAGAAACGAAGACTTGTGGGGAGTCCTCAAATCTTGAAACAGTTTTGAAGAGACTTGGGGATGACACTGGCTCTCTATTCACTCTGCCCCGAGGTCTGAGGTGAGCCCCTCTTGGGGAAGCCACCGACCCCAGAGACACACGGTGGCTCAGCTCCCTGGCCCACCACTGGCTCAGGGCGAGGCCCAGCTCGCCAGGTTGGGTGTGGTCGTTTGTTTCTGTTTCAGGACCATCTTCCTCATCGTGCTGTTTTCTCAGTACCTGAAAAACGTCGCGGTGCCCGTGCCCGTTTATGGAGGAGAGAGGAAGTGCCAGACCTCCAAGTTCTACCTGTTTCAGGTCTTTCCTGTAAGAAACGCCTCCACCTGCTTCTATCCCCCCCTTTTTTTTCTTTTTTTGAGAGGTTTTTGCTATAGAGTGTGTGCACTCGCCAGAAAGACAGAGAGAGACAGAGACAGAAAGCGAGAAATCACCCCCCAGGGGGGATGGCCATGCCACAATCCCTTCTCCTCCATTCTCCTCTCGGGATCTTGGGCACACACGCACACGCACCCAGCGTGAGTTTAAGCCACCGGGCCCGGGACTCAAACCGCGGTCAGCTGCATGGGAGTCCAGCAACATAGCCATTACGCTAACTGCTGGTTCCCTCACCTGCTTCTATTCTTAACCCACTCACCTGGAGACAGCAGGGCAGCCCCTCTGCACCCAGATGGCCCCCAAAGGAAACACTCCCCCAACTGTCCTGGCCTCTGTTTTCCTTAACTTGGTCCGGCAAGGTACCTTTGGTGTGCAGGGCGCCCCCCAGCAGTAGGAACACCATCCTGGTCTGCCGCCATGCTTCTCTCCCAGGCGCAGAGACCCTGCCTTACTGGGTCAGTTCTGGCAGCAGTGTGAGAAGCCCCTGGGCCCTCCTAGTGGGAGGTCCTGCGGGGGACAGCCAGGTTCACCCCAAATTACACAAAAATCAAGGTTCTGAGGGAAGCTGGCCTCTCTGAGTTGCATAAATCAGGGTCTTTCGAGTGGTTCACTGGACAATCAAAGGCTGGGTGAGGATGAGCACACCTCCCTTTTCAGAGCCTTCTCTGTTGAATGTATACCACCTGGTCAAGTGCATGTCACTGTCAACCACACAGATGTTTTCAGGTTTAGTTGAATGGTTACCTGTATTTCTCATTGTACAAAGATACTGCCACATAATGAGCTCATTGACCCTTCAACCATCTCCCAGGCTAGTGATTTTCAAATGTGACGGGTGGGCTGGCTTTGAAGCCTGGTGGTGAAGGGAGCCAGATCCCACATGGCTGACCATGAGGTTCAACTCCTGGCCCTAGTGGTTTGAAAAGCATGCCAGACATGCATAATAGGATGGAGAAATGGAGAAGAGATTGCAGGGTGACCATGCCCCATTGGGTAGTGCTTTCTCCCTCTCTCTTTGTCTCTCTATCTCTCTTTCTGGTGAGTACACATGCCCTCTGGCAATTAAAACAAATTCAATGTGCTTAAGAATCACTTGGGGACTTGGGTTAAAGATACAGATTTCTGGGTCTCACCACCAGCCATTTAAAATGTGTACATCTGAGGACCCAGTTTATGAAATCCGAAATCCGGCCCCAGGCTCTGCAGAGCAGGGACAGTGATTCCATCGTGCAGAGAAAGAACTGCAGCTTGGAGTTTGCTCCAAGGTCAGCAAACAGCGCAGAGAGAGTGAGTTCGCAATCCTTCTGCCCCAGGCTGTGGACAATTTTTGCGCCATTTTGACACGTTTCCCCACAGTTTGTATTTTTTCATGTCTGTTTCTAGCCTGTTCCTTTAACATGCTCACTTATGCACTAACATACCAGATTCCTATTGTCCCTAGAAAGGTCAGAAACCCCACTCTTCCTCATCTCAAAGGGCAGTGCAGGGGTGGGGGGAGGCTCACAAGAGTGCTGAAGGCAGTCCCTCTGGCAGGTGCTACTGGCCCTCTGCATTTCGTGGCTCATCTGCTTCATACTCACCGTCACCAACGCCCTCCCCTCGGCCCCCACAGCCTATGGGTACCTGGCCCGCACGGACACCAAAGGCAGCGTCCTGAACCAGGCCCCCTGGTTTCGCTTCCCTTACCCAGGTAATGAGAGGGGTGCCCCTTCTCACCTGGGATGCCCAGGTCTTCCTTGGGGCCCAGGGTGCTGGATGGAGTGAATGGGGTGGAGGGAGGGTTTTCCTCCAAGGGGTTGCAGAGGAGAGGCGGGCCCCAGGGAGTCTTTATCAGACTCCAAAGAGACCCCCACTGTCCTAAGACTTCCTTGGGGCTGATGGGCCAACGGTTCCCACTCCCAGACCTATCAGAGTTGGGATGCAGAGCTGGCCTACATCCCTCTTCTGTCTCCACATTGCTCAGAACCCAGAAGCCTAGGGATGAAGAAGAGGAAGAGACAGAGATCCTGACCTCCTGGCCTAACTTGAAATCTCCCCCTGGATTCAGTATATCTCACATGAAGGATGTCTGGGGCTGAACTAGTGTGTTTCCAGCGAGAACAGGTCAAGGGCATCTCTTATTTTATTTTTGAGAGATTTTTGCTATAGGGCTTATGTACTCACTGGAGAGACAGAGACAGAGAGACAGAAAGTGCAAAAATCTTCCCCCCAGGCGACATGGCCATGCCTCAATTTCTTCTCCTCCATTCTCCTCTCAGGATCTTGGGCTTGCATGCACATGTGCCCGGCATGAGTTTTAAGTTGCAGAGTCTGGGACTTGAACCATGGTTGGTGGACTACATGGGAGTCCAGCGACATAACCATTACACCGTCTGCTGGTCCCTCAGGGCATCTCTTCTGCTACGTTGGCCTCCCTTTTCCACAATTCTTGGCTCAGAGTACATCAGAAACCAGGTTCCAGGGAGGGCAGGTCTGACCTCATGTGCTGTGGACTCGGGGCCTTCTTGACTAAGTTGCATCTTCCAGAAGCTTCAAAGCCTTCCTAGCAAGAGACCCCATTGCTGACTCTTTTTGTGCACCATGGCCTCAGAGAGGAACAGTGGGTCAGGAATCCAGCCTTGACCGCCTTCCAGAGACTCCTCTGGCAAGGAAATTATTTGGGGCTCAGCCTCCTCTTATTTTCCGATCTAACATGCTCTCTGCCCTGCCTTTTCAGGACAGTGGGGCCTCCCCACCATCAGCCTGGCTGGAGTCTTTGGGATCATCGCAGGGGTGATCTCCTCGATGGTGGAGTCCGTAGGCGATTATTATGCCTGTGCCCGGCTGGTGGGGGCCCCGCCCCCTCCGAAGCATGCCATCAACCGCGGCATTGGCATCGAGGGCCTCGGCTGCCTGCTGGCGGGGGCCTGGGGGACAGGGAACGGCACCACCTCCTACAGCGAGAATGTCGGGGCCCTGGGCATCACCAGGGTAAGGCTGCTGACGGTGGGTTTGGTCGCGGGCTGGAAGCCCGAATCTGTCACCTGGGTGTTAGTCTCCTATTGCCGCCGTGCACACGATCACAGATGTATGGCCTCGAACAACCTACACTTCCCATCCTACTGATCTGGAGGTCGGAAGTCAGACTGGGGTCTCAGGGAGCTAAAATCGGGGTGTGGGCAAGGCCATGCTCCCTTTGGGAGGCTCTAGAGGAGAATCTACTTTCACACTTTTTTGTCCTCTAGAGGCTGCTCCTGTCCCTTGGCTGTGGCCCCTCCTTCAGAGCAACGTAGCCTGTCTCTGAACTCTCTCTGGTCACTGCTCCCTCTGCCTGCAGCCGAGGAAGGTTCTCTGCTTAGGATTATAGACTGGATCTATTGGGTAACCCAAGGTACTTTACCAACTCAAAGTCCTTAGCTTTGTCACAACCGCAAGATGACATACTCATAAGGTCAAGGATTAGGATGTGAGTTTTGTTTTGTTTTGTTTTGTTTAATTGCCACTGAGTGCATGCACTCACCAGAGTGGAAGAGAGAGAGAGAAAGTGTCCTACCCCCTCCTGTGGGGGCGTGGCCAAGACACCATCCTTTCCCTCCATTTCTCCATCCTACAGGATTTGGGGAACACATGCACACATGTCCAGTGTTTTACAAGCCACTAAGGCTGGGATTTGAACCTTGATTGGTTAGATGGGTCCAGTTCCCAATGCACAGTGCTTAACCACTGTGCTACAGGTTGGCCTGGACATGGACATCTTTGAGGGAGCCATTCCTTGGTGGTGGCGATTCCACGTCAAATAGCATATCCTGGCCCTGGCAGACATCATCCGCCTTCAGGTCCCGGAATGAAGTCTTTGCTTCCAGAAGTTAGTGGGAGGTTCGCTCTGTGGGGCTCGAACCCAGACATTCAGTGTGCTCTGACCTGCTGGGGCACCTCACGCTTGGAGACATCTATGCAGCTCAGTGTGCCCGCCTTGACCTCTCCTCTTGCCATCTCGCCTTAGTGGGCTCACCTCATCACCAGTCCTGGGTAACTTCACGGGTCCTGCACTTCGCGGGTGGGTTTTCTTTCTCGGCATCCCCCCCACCCTTCCTGTCCTCTTGCTGCTTTCCCGGTGCCAGCTTTCTCCCCTCCCCCGGACGCTGCCCTAGTCCCTCACAGTCTCTGTTTCCAGGCTCTTGTCCAGCTAATCCACCCACCACAGACCCCCCCAGGATCCTTCTAGAGCTGCATTCTGATTAGAATAGTCTCTGCCTCACACTTTTTCATTTCTCCCTGATTTCCACAATAAAGCTCTGTGAGGGCAGCAAGAATTCTTCAGGGCAGCCCTTTCTAAGATGACTTAGGAAGAAGCAGTATCACGATGCTTTCTGCATGCTTCAGAGTGCCTTTGCAGGGCTCCTGGCATGAGTCCCGTGAGCTCTGGAAAAATACAGGACCCCCCCTCCCCGCCCCCGCAGTCCCCAGCCCCTCCTCCGCCTCGCACACACTTTGCCTTGCATTTTCCTCCGGCTCCCTCAGTGGTCCTGGGGTGCAGCCTGGTGGTCCTGCATCTTTGCAGCCCTGTCCACCATTGTACCCTCACCCAACAGAGGATGAAGCCTGGAAACAAACAGCTGAACCGGCACCTACCCTACAGCAAATCCTGTGCCCTTTGTGGACTCTTACACCTGCCCAGGGCTTCGGAGCCTTTGTGTGTGGGCAAGAGGAAAGTTTCCCACAGAAGGGCCACTGGCCCACACAGAAACACAGCAGACATCTGAGGGCTCTGTAAATAGTGAGCAGCAAATGTTTCCTTTCCTGCGAAAGGGAACATATTTCACACAGAACAGAAAATTATACTCAATAAACAGAACGTTTTTCTGTTGTGTCATTTCTAAACTAAGGACTTTTAGAGGAGAGGGAAGGAGCAAGAAGAAAAATGCAGACACAGCAGGCTAGGAAGAGACAGATTAATCCTCAAAAAGGCCTGGGTGCAAAGACTACTTGTTTTTATGGACTCACATCTCCCCCTTGTGGCCTTTCCAGGTATTGATTTATGCCACATCTTGGCAGTAATGAGCTCTACTTCTGGTTCTCCCATGGAAAGAAATAGGGCTGAAGGCCAGAGACCGCCCATCACTTCTCTAGGATGAGATGTTATGGCTCCCAGCCCAGGTATCAATCAAATGAGGCCCAGGGCTGCAGGATGATAGTATCGGGGAATGCCTGCCATCTTCATGAGACCACCAGCATGTCCAAAAGGCATTGGTCAGCCTGACAAACTGAGCTATTGTGCTGCAGTCACGCCTTTGTTCCTGTAGTTAATTGTCAGGGTTGTAAACAGAACATCTTTTTGTGTGGTAAGAATTTATAATGACAGCAGTTACATAAATAAGCTCTTAGACTGGAAAGAGAAAAATAAGCAAAGGCAGAATCTGCTACTTTATTGCTGCGTTAACGGACTTCAGTTGACATTAGAGTGTCTTTTAAAAGTGTTTTAATTGTAGTAAAAGACATATGCTATAAACTTTACCATCGTGGCCACTTTAAAGTGTGCAGTTCAGTAGCGTTAAATACATTCACATTGTTGTAGAATAGAGCTCCAGAATTTTCCATCCTGCAGAACTAAAACTATGTTAGAATATCCTTTAAGGGTTGGGAGTAGACCCAAATGGATAGAAAACAGCTGCAAGAACTGTCTAACTACATTCATTAACAGCAGACTTGGGACGGAATATGAAGACATGAACACTTGCGGTATTGTCCTAATTGTCAAGAATGATCCTCAAATGTCTGAAGGTCAGGGTCATTGTTTTAAAGGACATTTATTTATGAGAGGCAAAGAAAAGGAGGGGGGGATTTATTTATTTACTTATTTTGCCAGAGGGTACATGTGCTTGACTGAGAGAGACAGAGAGAGAGGGAAGGTGAGAAAGCACCCCCCCTAGGGAGATGGGCAAGCCACAATCCCTTCTCCTCCAGTTTCTTCTTGGGATTTTGGGCACACACACACGTGCCCAGTGTGTTTCTCTGGGAGTTGAACTACATGGTTGGCCATATGGCATCCACTACCACACCATTGGCTGGCCTCCTAGCTTTTAAAAGCATTTTTATTTATTTCATATTTTTCATGAAGAGAGATAGAGATTGTGAGAGAGAGAGAGACTCAACAGAGTCTCATCACAACAAAACCCTCTTTCCCCAGACCCACAGCTAGTTAGGGTTGTGGGCATGCACCTGGCATGTTTCAGCTCAACTTGGAATCCAAACCATGGTTGACCTTGTGGCTTCCAGCACTGCAATTCAGGGTATTATCAGTTGTACCAATAAAACTGTGCCCAAGCCCCTATTCTAAAGCACTGGGCTACTCTGCCTCCAGAGTGACTTTGCACCTCACTGTACAGGTGTCTCAGGAGAGGAGTATTTGAACCAGACCTTGAAGACAAGTGTGAGAGCAGCAGAGAAGAGGGAGAGGCGAGGGCACAGGCCGGGCCTCATGGTTGTGTACTTGTCCTTTACCAAACCCCACTGGGGCCCAGAGGAGCCATGATGGGGCTAGGTGGTGCTGCTCCTGGATGTCTGCCTCAGACAATGTGGGCAGAGGCTCTGGGGAGTCTGTCCTGGGTGGTGCTCCCCATTCTCTGTCTCCCTGGTGCTGCAGGTGGGGAGCAGGGTGGTGATTGTCGCTGCAGGCTGCGTGCTGCTCCTGATGGGCATGTTTGGGAAGATTGGGGCTGCATTTGCCACCATCCCAACCCCAGTGATTGGAGGCATGTTTCTCGTCATGTTTGGAGTCATCACCGCCGTGGGGATCTCTAATCTGCAGGTGAGTGAGTGAGACACCTTTGGAAGCAGCAGCATCGCACTCATCCCTTAGAGGAGATATTGGGATTGAGATGAACAGGGCAGGGCTGGGGCTGGGGTGGAGGAAGGGGGAGGAGGGAATCCTGGCCCCAGAGACAGTGGAGACTCCAAGTGGAAAGGAATGGCTAGAAGCCTCCAAACCTCTGAAATCATGTCAAAGTGCACCAGAGGTACTGACAGCCGTGCCTGCCTCGGGGGCCTTTCTCTGCAGTACGTGGACATGAACTCCTCCAGGAACCTCTTTGTCTTCGGCTTCTCCATCTACTGTGGGCTCGCCATTCCCAACTGGGTGAACAAGAACCCTGAGATGCTCCAGACAGGTACTTGTCCTCCATGACTGCTCCGGGGACAGAGCCAGTGGGTCCTTGGTCCCCGTGTACCTTGTTACTTTTGTCTTCCCTCTAGGGATCCTGCAGCTGGACCAGGTCATCCAGGTGCTGCTGACCACGGGCATGTTTGTTGGTGGATTTCTGGGTTTTCTCCTGGACAACACCATCCCAGGTAGGGCTCATCTTGCCCTGGGAACCTATGGAGTGGGTAGGTAGTTAGCCTTTGGGCTACCCGGAGAGCCTCCCCTCACCCCGATTACCATGTTAGCTGCTCACAGCATACCCTGAGTGGGTCCTGGTTCTGGGGGTGCTGAAGGCCCGTCTTAGTCTAGTAAGGCTGCCACAGTGAAACACCACAGACTGGGTGGCACTCCCAACCTTTCTGACATGAGGGACTACTTACATGGGAGACAATTTTTTCATGGTCTAGGGTGAAGGGAGGTGGTTTTAGGATGATCCCAGTGCAGTGCATTTACTGTGCACCTTGTTTCTGTTATTATTACATTGTAATATATAATGAAATAATTATATGACTCACCATAATGCAGTATTTGCAGCTGCTCCCCAGTGCTAGCGTCACCACCTCAGCTCCACCTCACACCATTAGGCATCAGATTCTCATAAGGAATTGCACAAGCTAGAGTCCTCACATGAGCAGTTCCCAGTAGGGGTCCTGCTCCGATGAGAATCTGATGCCACTGCTGATCTGACAGGAGGCAGAGCTCAGGCAGTACTGTGAGCACTAAGAATACAGATGACACTTAGCTTGCTCTATCGCTGCTCACTGCCTGCTCTGTGGCCCGGTTCTGGTACCAGTCTGTGGCTGGAGGGTTGGGACTCCTGGCTTAAACAACAGAAATTTATGTTCTCATGGTTCTGTACACTGGAAGTCCAAGTCAAGGTGTTGGTGGGGCAGGTTTCTCCGAGGGCCTCTGCCTTTGGTTTGCAGATGGCCACCTTCTCTGCATGTCCTCAGATAGCCTTTCCTCTGTGCATGCATATGCCCAGCATCTCTCTGTGTCCTAGTTCTGTTCTTTTCTTTTTTTAAGAATTATTTATTAAATTTCATTTATCATTATTATTATTTTTTAGAAATTTGCTACAGGCACATGTACTCACCAAAGAGAAAGAGAGGGACAGTGAGAAATCAGGCTGCCAGGTCCAGAGCTCAAATCCACATTGGTTATGTGGGAGTCCAGTGCCTTAACCGCCACACCATCTGACCCCCCCTGGTGTCCTTTTCCTGTGAAGACACCAGTCAGTCTGGATTAGGACTCGCCCTAATGGCCTCAGTGTAACATAATCATCTCTTTAAAGGCCCTATCTTTTATTTTATTATTTTTTAAAAGAATTATTTCATTTAACTTTATTTATTTTCATTTGACCAAGAGGGACAGAAGGTGAGAGAGAGAGAGAGAGAAAGTGAGAAAGCAAGCCACCAGGTCCGGGACTCAAACTGCAGTCAGCCATGTGGGAGTCCAGAGGCCTTCACCACCATACCACCTGCTGGCCCTGAAGACCCTAGGCTATATCTTTAAATATAGCCAAGATCTGAGATACTGGGGATTAGATACGGACGTATGAAGTTTGGGAGGACAGAACTCAGCCCATGACATGGTCCTAGAGTGAAAAACAGGCCAGAAGCAAAGGGGAAAAGACACAGCTCTGGCTTTCTCAGCGCCTCCAACCTAACTGGTGAGAAACCGCACATATATTCATTCATTTATGTCTTTAGTGAAACTCCATGGAGTGCATGCGATGCACTCCAGAGGATGCAGAGTGGAGCAAGAAGTCCCAGGCTAACTGGGGAGAGAGGCAGGAAAGCAGGCGACTACAACACAGGCTAACTTGTGCTGTGATGGACAGACTGAGCCTGTAAGTGCTGAGGAAGCTGAAGAGTGTAGAGGCTTCAATCACTGATGGCTTCCTGGAAGAGATGCCCAACCCCCTGTCTCCTCCTCCCTCGATCCTCCTGCAGCCCCTCTAAGGTTCGCTGTGATAGCACCTGCTTCATGGCGTTCTGTTTCCCACACTGCTTCTCCACCCTGTAAAATGCAGCTGCTTCCCAGGGACGTGAGCACGTGGACAGGCCTGTTCCAGGAGTCCAGGGTATCTCTGTGGCTCCTACGTGGTCGTTTCCTGGTGCCTGGCGTAATGTCGGCCACACAGCAGGAGCTCAGATAATGCCTGATGAGTTGGGCTGAGTTGAGAGGTGATTTTTTGTTTGTTTGTTTTTAAAGAGATTTTTCCTACAGGGTGCAAGTGCTCACTGGAGAGACACAGAGACAGAAAGCAAGAAATCACCTCCCAGGGAGGATGGCCGCACATGCACACATGCCTGGCATGAGTTTTAAATCACCAGGTCTGGGAATTGAACTACAGCTGGCCATGTGGGAGTCCAGGACCTTAGCCACTATGCCACCTGTTGGCCCCAGAGCTGTGATTCTTGAGAGGAAGAAGAGGAAGAGGAGGAGGAGAAGGGTATCAGGCATGAGGCATTGAGGGGAGAGTTCATAGTACCTCCAGGGGCTGCCAGAGGTTCCCCCAGGGCTGTCCCCGCTACCCCACACACTCTATCTGGGCCAGTCTTGATTTCTTGCTGTTCTCTACCAGGGAGTCAGGAAGAGCGAGGCCTTCTGGCATGGAATCAAATCCAGGAGTCCGAGGAGACGCGGAAGGCCTCAGAAGTCTACGGCCTGCCCTGGGGGATCGGCACCAAGTTCTGCACATCTTCCTGTGTCCGGAGACTCCCCTTCTGGCCCAGGCTGGAACACGGGGGAAAAGGGCAAATGAGTGTGAGCCAGCTTACCCTCTGCTCCCAGGTATCCTCAGGAGAGCAGCCACGGGGCAACCTAGAAACCAGGATGTGAGAACTGCCCCTTGACAGGGCACCACCTACCCACCATCCACCTCCCACCCAGCTGTGCTGACCGCCCTGTTTATGTGCTGGTGGTGCCCGCCCTGCCCGGTTCCTCCAGCACTTGGCAGCTGTGGCAGTCAGAGAAGTCTTAGACTAAGATTCCCAGGCAGGCCCGGCCGTGCAGTCATAGCAAATTAACTGCAGTGCTGGAAGCCACATGGCTGGCTGCAGTTGGGACCCGCAGTAGGCCTGAGGACACGCGTTCCAGCATGCCCAGGATCCTGATGAGCTGAAGGGCTGGCGAAAGAGAATCGCCGCATGAGGACACCCCAGCAAGGGTGCTTTTCTTTTTCTTTCTCTCATGCGCATGTACTCTCTGTCTCACAAATAAAATAAACATTAAAAAAATTTAAAAACAAAGATCTACATGTAGGCCCCAGCTGGTGACTTGATCATCATGTCCAGCTGCAAGTGTGTCCTCCCACTGTTCTCAGATGCCCAGCACGGACAAGCGAGGCCTGGTGTCCCCACAGAGGTCGCCTTTCCACCTTCCCATCAGCAGCAGTTCGAGGCATTGAGAGGAAGAGGCCTGGGGAGGGGCAGGGGATGGAGATGGGTGTTTGCTGAACGGTGACAGGAGCTGTTCTCTTCTCCAAGAACCAGGGACCCTGCTGGCTTCTCCACGCCCCTCCCCTCACCCCCTCGGGAGTGGTGAGAAGCACCACCACCACCACCCCCTCTCGCTCCTGTTCCTCCCAGTTCCTGGTGCTCCAGCCCCGCCCGACTTGGAGACCTGTGCCTGGTTTTAGTCACCCAAGGAGAACCGAGGCTGGACACACGGCCAGCAGTCCTGCATGGCCTCGTCACACACGTCCCCCTACCCGAAGTCCAGATGTGGGCAGGACCCCAGCCCGTTTGTCTACCAGAGAGGCTGGTGGCTGTGGGAAGCCGAGCTCCATTCTGCATGCTTTCCCTAGGGGACTCAGGCTTGTGCTTTCAATGTGTTTTTGTTGTTTTGTTTTAAAATTTTTGCCAGAGAGTGTGTGCACTTGCTGGAGAGAGACAGAGACAGGGAGAGCAAGAGAGAAGAAAATCATCCCCAATGGACCATGGTCATGCCACAATCCCCCGTCCTCAATTTCTCCCTCCCATCAGGATTTTGGACACACACACACACACACACACACACACACACGTGTTTCAAGCTGCAGAGCCGAGGATTATAAAGGTGGTTGTCAGATCTGGTTCCCTTAACCACTAGCTCACAGGCCAGCCTGGCCTGTAATTTTTGATGGGCACCGGGTCCTACCAACATGAAAAGAAAAGTCCATGTTGTCTGCCAATGCCTCCTTCCCCACTGAGAACTCTGTCCTTGCACAGCCAAACCTACTCCTCTGGGGGGAAGAAGAGGAGGTATTTTGTGTGGGGTGGGGAAGGGAAGACATTGATATTGCTCCAGAGGCTGGTTCTGGGAGGGGCTCCTCTGCCCTCCCCCCCACACACACTCACCCATCCATTCTCCACATTGGGTGGCACGGGAGTTGGCTCCTGGAATGCACTCTTCTAAGCTTGGGATTCTCAGTTTCTCATCCAAATGGGCAGGGAGGCTGTGTGCTAGGAGAGGGGCAAGTCAAGGGTGCATATTCTGTGTATTAAAAATGGGGCCAGTCTGTGGCCTCGTAGTTAAGGTGGCTGGATTCCACCTGGTCAACTACTTGGTTCAAGTCCTGGACTCGGAGACTTGAAAATTACACCAGGAGTGTGTGTGTGCATGCCCAAAAATCCCAAGAGGAGAATGGAGGAGAAGGGACTGCAATGTGGTCATGCCCCCCGGGAGGTCATTTCTCACTTTCATTCTCTTTCTTCTATGAGTGTGCATGCCCTCTAACAAAAAAAAAAAAAAAAAAAGCTGTGCATGCCCTCTAACAACAACAACAAAAAAGATAATGATAAATAAAATGTGGGGTGTGGCCCAGTCATGGAGGCGCAGACGGCCATATGCCAATCCACAGTGCTGGAATCCCCATACGACACGGTTCTAATCCCCTTGCACAGTCATCCTGAAAAATGCAGGGTGTGTAGGCGTGCTCCTGGAAGACCGGAGGAAGGGGATCACAGTGTGACTAGACCCTGTGCAGGGTGCTTCTCTCCCATCCCCAACCCCCCCACACACACTGCCATGAATATAGGGAAAAAGAGAAGGAAGTGGGATGGGGGAGGGAGGCGGAGGCCCACCAAGTGCCACATTTGTAACGTGGCCATGAAAGCTACACATCCTGCCCCGAGACCACAGCGGCAGTGTGTTTCTAAGGAGGCCTCGAGTCTTCTGGTGAGGATGTCTGTGCTTCTCCACTGTAGCCCTTCCCAGATGGGGCCTCTGTAGGATGTCCCCTGTCCCCTGGCCACTCCCAGCACTCCCTGTCTTCATAGCTCTGGCAGGTCCCTGAAGACACAGGCGTGCTGTGTGCTCATTCACCACCCATGGGGTACTCGCCTTGATTGCATCAAGGGATGTGGGACTGAGTTACTCAGACTGAAGTCAGGCTGGCTGACACCACCCTGCTCACCCCATCTGTGCTCAATAAATCTGGACCTGTTGAGGCTCTGGCCTCATAAATCCCAGGTCTCCACCAGAACCCAAACACTCTATGGTAACCCAGTGTTGTACGCTGTGGGTCGGGCTGGCCTTGCAGCCTCCCTCACCCATCACCGTTGTGGCCTCTTCCTGCATCTGCCTCGACCGCCATCATTTCCCTCCCAACCATGACCAAGACGTGACACCCTTGGCTGGTGCTGTGAACTCTGACAACTGGCGTCATTTTTCTATGCCCTAATTAACTAGTGGCAGACTGGAGCCTTTTACACTTTTTCTCCAGGATCTGTAGGGAGGGAAAAGCTGGTAGGCCGTGAAGAGTTGCATTTCAAATCCCAAAGTAGATAGCTGTTAAAATTCCCTCTTCTAGGGACCAGCAGTTAGCGTAATGGCTATGTCGCTGGACTCCCACGTAGTCTACCGCAGTTCACGTCCCGGACCCGGCAGCTTAAAACTCACGCCGGGCACGTGTGCGTGCGTGCCCAAGATCCCGAGGGGAGAATGGAGGAGAAGGGATTGTGGCGTGGCCATCCCCCCTGGGGGGTGATTTCTCTCTTTCTGTCTCTCTGTCGGTCTGGCGAGTGCACACGCCCTATAGCAAAAACCTCTTCAAAAAAACAAAAACAAAAACAAAAACAAAAAACAAAACAAAAAAACACCAAAATTCCCTTTTCCAGAGAGTCCAGTCTTTCTACTTATGCCTTCCACTGACTGGGTGCAATATGGAAGGTAATTTGCTTTACCCAGGGTGTACTGATCTAAATGTTAATCTTGTCTGTAAAATACCTTCACAGAAACTAGAATAACGTTTTGACCAAATATATGGGGGCCCATGGCCTAGTCAGGTTGACACTAAATTCACCCTCACCACCAGTTTGCATGCCAGGTGTACACAGCCTATGCCCAGGGGCCTCACCAGGATGTGCTCAGAACCCTGGGCTCTCACCTATTTGGGAGTCTGTATTACCAGACTAGTAGACATGTCTGGTTCCACACTGATGTCCTATAGCCCAGGGTGGAGGCAGCACTGTTCCTGGCTCCCAGAGCACGCAGGAGGAGAAGGTAGGCTCTAGAACCCTATAGAATCCTCTGGAACAATGCACTGAGTCCAGGAAGTGCTGAATGCACCCAGTATAACGTCACTGCCAGGGTTGATCCTGCCTGCCCTATTCTCGAAAGGCCCATGTCCTGGGCCTCAGCTACATCTGGTAGCCTCTAAATAGGAGCGCAGTGGGTGTACATGTGTGTCCTGCAATGCTAGCCCCTTATAATAAACAACACCAAAAGACCGACACAGGGCCACGCTTCTCTTATACTTTATAATAATCAAAAACTAAGACCATCAGAATGCTTCTGGGACAAGCTCCTCCAGAAGGCTGAGGCAGGGGCAACCTTAGCTGCTAGAATTCAAACTTGAAAACTGTCCACCTCCTTCAGTCCTCTCCCTCTCAGCCCTTCTGCTTTACACATCTTCATCGTCAAAGGTCTCCATGCACCTCAACATTATCATCTCATC